CAAACAGCGGATTTTAAGGCTTTTATTCGTTGTAGTTTCTGTCTCTAGGACAAAAATAACTAGGTAATAGTAAGTTCTTTGCTCTCATTTTTTGAGATTCCAACTTAAAAGACAAATATTGAATAATGCTCCTAGTAATTATTTTCGGTGACATTTGCCTAGTTGAAAGGGTATAAAATATTGCCTGTGAAAGCAACAAATCCCTTTCAAGAAATTCAAGAACAGAGTCTCTGCTCCTATTTGCATGACATGTGAAAGGTCAGAGAAAATGGAATAAATCGGGGGGAAATCCTTTCTTGCACTAAAGGATTAATATTTCAAAAGCAGGAACACAATAACCTTTTATAATTTTTTCACTTGATTTAAATTAAAAGGAAAAAACCTTAGAACGTATGAAATGCTTGGAAAACACTCTGACAGACTGCCAATGACCTTATTTTACTGTTTGTTATCCTGTCAGAAGAACTGACAAGCGTAACATTCTAGAAGAGGGAGAAGGTGATATAGTTCAGTGCTGTGCAGATTTACATGAATATGGGAAAACGAGAGCCACTGGGTGAGCTAGTTAAGTATATAATGTTCCAGATTTTCCTAAAGAAAGCCAAGAAAGGCCTTTCGCACAGTATTCATATGGCTTCAAAGACTGCCTGCTTTTGATCCACATTATATCCTGCCTGATGCGTGGGTTCTCTCGTACAGCTTTGATGTAGCAGCCTGTTTGTTCATTTTCCTTTGCTTTGCTTATAATCCTAAATTTGCTGCCTTGCCCTGAGAGAGCAGGTTCATGCCATTTAATAACCTAAAACACAAGCTTGCTTTCTTTTCCTTTAAAACTTCCCAAATGCACTGTGAGTATGTGGGGATGATGACCATTTCACGTCTCTCTTTTATTTATCCCTAGCAAGAACGTGACAATAACACATTGATCTATTTCATAGTGTACCTACTGTGTATAAGCAGTTAATTTGCAAGTGACTTGACTTGGATGAGAACTTTTTACTCTTTCGGCAAACACGATGTTTGTTTACATGCTTTTTTGATAGAAAAAGATTCAAGATTCTGGTGGTAGAATTTGGTGGCACTTATCTTCTGTGTATCTAAGACTTCCCTAGAGTGATAAATGTGTTACTGTAGCTTTGGGGCGATTCATGTCGTACAGACTCATACTAATGGCATTACATAGGCCGAATCTTTGTATACAAACCAGCTTGAAAACAAGCAAACAAAAATCAGTTCAATTACCCAGTAGATAAAAGCATTTAACCCTGTTTCGTTGCCCTCCACCACTAACCTTCCATCAATTTTCGTCCACACTGTGGTTAGACAGCCACGGACCATGCTGAGAGTAATGGAGTGAGTGAGAAATTCAGAAAATGAAACAACACATTAGTAAGCAGCGTGAAACCAGAGTGAGGCAGTCATTGCAGTCGGGGCAAAAATGAAGCTGTGACCCAGCTGCGTCCTTTCGTTTCAGTGTGGGACGGCCGCAATGGAGTGCGTGCGGCAATACATCAACGAAGTGCTGGATTTCATGGCAGACATGCACACGCTGACCAAACTGAAGGTAGGATGGCTTCCATCTGCTCCCCCATCTGTTCACGCAACACAGGGGTTTTTAGAGAATTAAGCAGAGCGTAGGGGAATTTATTGCTACCTGGGGAGGCAGCTGTGGGTCCTGTTGAAGGAGCCCATGTCTTGGGGATCTGAAGAACCAGGAGCCACCTCTGCAAAGAGGGAAAGAAGAAAGGAAGGGATACTCACATGGCATCAGCTGTGTGCATAGCTTCACTTCTGCCATTTATTAAATTCTCACAATGCCCTGATTAAGACATTATCCGCATTTTACAAATGTAGAAACTAAGGGCTTGGCATAGTGTAGTGCTTTGCTCAAGGTCGCAGTTCTCCTGAGTGGTGAAGTCAAGGTTGAATCTTGTGACTCCCAGTTCATTCTCTTTTCTCCATACCACACAGCAAGGTTTAACTACTTTGAGCCTCAGTTTCCTCATTTGAAGAACAAGTCTGATACTAGTCAAGGCAACTTGCCTGACTGTTACAAGGTTTGATATAAACTAATGTATGTGAAGAGACTTTCATAAACTGTAGCACATTATGCAAACATAAGCCATTTATTATTTTTATCTGCATTGAAGCTGTTTTCTTCAAGAAAATAATTAAATAAGGGGGGCTAGAAAAAAATTTAATTTGCATATGGACAAAATCCCAGTGAAGTTGTTGAGTTTATTGATTGTTTGGCAGAGTGGAATGAATTGCTGACGCAGGTCCCTGCCATGATTTGACTAGGGAGCTAAAAAATTAATAGTTTGAGAGATCTGAGGAAGGCCCTAGACAGAGGGTAGAAGAGAATCCAAACGTGGTCCAAGAAACAACCAAATTGCTCTCTGGCACTAAAGGATTCCTTCTTGATAGACAGAAACCTGGTGATCCTCAAAGTTCATCAGTTAAGAATATGGTCCCTTTATCACTGAAATGTTTCCAGACTCTGCTCAGATGATCAAAGTGTTTTTAGGTGGAAAGTAGAAGCAAAATTTATGCTGATAATATCTTGCAATATCTGAACTCAGTCATTTGTAAATAAGCTCCCCTTTTATTTGCTCGTACACTGGTTACTGGTTGCCAAATCTGGTTGCCCACACTTAAATGACTTTGATGTATGAGAAGAGGAAACAGTTATTACCCAAACATTTTTAGCTTGTTTTGCAGATACTTTCAAAAAATAAGAAGAAGATCCATGATGATCAAAAGATTGGGAACTACAGACATAATCTAACCCTCTGATTTTACATATTAGGAAATAGATCAGAAAGGTCAAGTGACAGGTGGCTTATCCCAGGCCATGTGACTAAGTAGGGCAGAACGTGGTCTAAAACCTAGGTCTGAGTTCCTAGTTCGATGCTCTTCTCACTAAGCCACCCTGAACAAATACATCTTTATAAATTAATTAAAAAATTATGTATTGAGGACTTATAATGTGCCTGGGTCTGTTCTGGGCATCAGGGATGCTATGATGAGCATAAACAGACACAGTAAGCTACCCTTATTTAATTTATAGTGTGGTAGTGGAGGCCAAATTTAATGAACATTTCACATCAACTGGAGTAAAAATGTATCTCAAAATTGCTGTGAAGAAGGGGTAGACAGCAGCATGGACCTCTCCAGGGAAGTTGGGAAAGGCTTTCTGGAGGAAGTGACACTTGAGCTGAAATCTGAACAATTAGACGAAGAGAGGCAGGAACAATCTTTCAGGCAGAGGAAACAGCAGCAGAAGGGCACACAGAGAGCCAGCAAGGCTGGAGCCACGGGACGAAGGGGTAAGATGCAGAGGTCTGCAGTGGCTAGATCATTCCTGGCTTTGTAGGCCATGCTAGGGAAATTTCCCCGCCTTTATCCTGAGAACAATTGGAAGCCACTGAAGAAGTTTAAGTGGGTTGTATGCTCAGAATAGTGATAGGAGGGGTGGAAATGACAACCTGATTTTTTTCAAGAGTAGCCTGGAATGTCTCCAGGTGTCTGCCAAGGTTTCAAAATACCATTTGGTTTTGTAGAGCCACATGAAGACTTGCTCCCAGCCTCTGCATGAAGATACCTTTGGTGGACATCTCAAAGTCGGGCTGGCTCAGATTGCAGCCATGGAAATCTCACGGGGCAACCACAGAGATAACAAAGCTGTGATCCGCTATCTGCCTTGGCTCTATCATCCCCCTTCTGCAATGCAGCAAGGGTAAGACCCTCCTTATTCCAGGAATGAGGCTAAATAAGGCAGAAGACATCCCTGAGTTTCCTGGGGCTCAGCTAGACCTAGTGAGTGCATTGACAATTTATGAGAGCGGAACATGATGAGTTTTAGGAAGATGGAAATCAAGGATCATCTCCATAGGTTCTTGCTGACCCAGAGTGCTCCATGTCATGCTGCTGGTAAAACAGACTTGCCTTCCTATGAAACCCTCAGTCGTCCTAATGGATGATGAAAACTTGGAGCTTAGAACGCCACTTTAACTGTTGATTTCAGATAAATCAGTAGGTATGTACTGAGCACTTACGCGGCCACTGCCTTCAAACAGCTTAGATTGTAGCGGAACAAAAGCTATAGCGGGGGTGAAATAGAACACAAGGAGGTGCAAGCCCTGATCCTGCTGCTTAGGGAAGCTAAAGAAGAGAGAGGCACCTGTGGGTTTGTTCTCTTGGGAACTCAGGGCAGGCCTGAGCCCCACCCTTGGACACAGTCGGCCTTCCTGGGCAGAGAGAAGGTGGGCAGTGGGGGATGAGAGCAGGGGAGAGAAGGGGGAGCAGGAGAATGGGCAGCTGTGCTGTGTCTCTTCTCTCCCCTCCCCTCTAGTGGGGATATCAGAGAAGAACTTTCTAGTGACAGAAAAGGAAAGAGTTTAGAAAAAGAAGCTAGTTGGAGAGGCAGCCAGGTTTTTGGAAGAATACTATTTAATCCTGTGTCACCAAAGGCTGCTCTTTGCGCAAGAAGCTAAGATCCAGGATTAGAGAGGAAAATAAGAAAAACAGATACATCATTTGGTTGACATTCTATTGCCTTGTGTTTTATTTTATGTGATTGCCTGCAAAACCACACTTTTACTCCCTTCCTTCAAAAAGCATTTGTTGTGCACCCAACGAAACAGAAAACATAAAATCATCTTTATCACTTCCTTCTCTAACAGACCTAAAGAATTCATCGAGTGTGTCTCCCACATCCGTCTGTTGTCATGGCTGCTTCTGGGTTCCCTCACTCATAATGCGGTGTGTCCAAATGCCTCCTCTCCCTGCCTACCCATACCTCTGGACGCAGGTTCCCATATTGCAGACCATCTTATTGTTATCCTGATTGGATTTCCAGAGCAATCAAAGGTAAGTGATTTCTGCAAGATTAAGACCATATGCATTGAAATTGCTAATGGAAACCCTTATCAGCCAATTTTGTTTCTTCTGAGAAGAAAATGCATCTTATCACTTGCCCTCCTGTGGATGTTAGAAAAGCAACTCTGTGCTAATGCCTCATTTAAAGTTGTTTAAATTCCCAGACTATCTTTTTTCCCCCTAAATTGTTTTTCGGCTTACTTTTATGAAGATAAATTATGGAGGCAAGCAAGAGTTGACTTTGTAGGCATTTCTATCTCAAAATAATTAAGAGAAATAAAAGGCTAGAAACATAATCAAAATTCTGTGATCAGTTTTTAGAACCAAAGACAAAATGGAGGAAAATTTATTCTCTATCTAATTCTTCATGCATTATCTTTTTAACTGAAGTCTCTAGAGAAGCATAAAGATACAAAATGAAAATAAGAAGCCCAGTGAGGAACTCACTAAAGCACACACTGGAATCACCTACACAGAGGAACTTTATAAATTGTAGAGACAGATACTGCGCTTAAGGGTATAAAGTAAACCCAATGCAGGCATCAGTCACGGGTTGTTCAAGTAGACCAGACGCATAGGTACTAATCAGCTTCGAGGAGCCAAGGGCCCCTCATAGAGCTTAGGCTGATTCTGGGAGGTCACAATGGGTTTGGGGACAGCTGAGAGGTAGGCCAGGGCGAGGTGACTATGTGATACAATAGAGCACCCGTCTAAATGACCTGAATGATGTTTGCAAAAGGAATTAGGTGGTCGGTTCCTAATATTTCAACCCAGATCTGCGTTTGATTGCTAACTATGGTACTTGGAGTTTTGTGAGCTTGGCAAAGTTACTCAACCTCTCTGAGCTTCAGATTTTCCTCTATAAAACAGAGGAGGGGATGATTTGAGAATTACAGAGGTGATCTGCGAAAAGTCTATGGCATGTCCTGGCATGTTGTAGGTGCGCACTGCACACGAGCTTGATACTGGAGGGAGTACGTCTCTGCTGCTTCCGCCGCCACTGTTAAGTGCTGGGCAGTGTGTTCATGTGTATCACCTCATTTACTCCTTACTCAGCTCTTTGAAGATGCTACAATTATCCCCAATTTATGGTAGAATCATTATTCTCCCTAATCTAGTTCAGGGATGGGAATGTCAGTTTCCTTAAAGGGCAAGGGGGTGGGTAGATTTATTCTACAAATTAAGGTGTCCTCTCTTCGAAAAGATGCTTTGTTCTCTGAGCGCACTCCCACTGACTGCGTGAAGAGCAGATTGTTGTAAGGCGATGAGTCACAAGTTTGTAGCTCGGAGATAACTCCTTTGTGCTTTGGCTGTGCTCCCTGGCAGGGCCGGAGCCATGGGGGGCAGGCTCCGTGTAGGGCCACAGCCCCCTAGGACGCAACGGTACTGTCTTCTTCCCTTCCAGACCTCTGTGCTGCATATGTGCTCCCTCTTCCACGCATTCGTCTTTGCTCAGCTCTGGACGGTGTATTGCGAGCAAAGTGCCGTCGCCACGAATGTGCAAAATCAGAATGAATTCAGCTTCACAGCGATACTGACAGCACTAGAATTTTGGAGTAGGGTGACACCCAGCATCCTTCAGCTAATGGCCCACAACAAAGTGGTGAGTTCACGCAGAGGTTGCCCCTCTGGGATGGAATCTCAAAATGTCTAGACCTCTCCTAGTCCTCACACTACCTCTTACAGGTCTCAGTTGTAAGATTATAGCAATGGATTGGAGATTTATTAAGTTGTAAACTGCACATTCTACTTGCATAAGAATTTTGATTAACAACAAAGCAAATAATAGTTCCAGGGATCTATTGTACATCATAGTGACTACAGTTAACAACAGTGTATTGTGTACTTGAAAATTGCGGAGAGTAGATTTTAAATGTTCTCACCACACACACAAAATAAGGTAATATATATATTAAATAGCTTGATTTAGCCATTCCACGATGTAGACATATATCAGAATATTATGTTGTCCATCATACATGTAAAAAAACTCAAAACAAACAAGTAAATTTAGTAAAAACAATTTTTATTTTTTCTGCCTGATGCCAGATGAGTTTTATGTGAAATGTCCACCCTGAAGTGTTGTTTCAGTGCTATAAAGCCAGAGGGTTAGGAATGAAATTTCTATTATTTTTGGATTCCAAAGCAACTTGGGAAAACCTTAGCCACTTAGGTCATCTATTTGAGGTGGTTTAAGAGCAGTCTGACCACAGGTGTTCATTCCACTCGGGGCTTAAAGCCTGGAAAGAGCCTCACCTTTCTGAGTTGTCTTATGAGGCCCTAAGGGCCCCATCTTGAAATCCAGTTCCATTTTAACGTAGATGGCTCACCAAGAGAGGGGCTGATCCAAACCTCACCGGAGGGTGTGTGTTAGCCTGAGCCCACTGCATTGAGCAAGCTTGGATAGTACCTCATGGAGTCAAGATTCGAGGGTGTATGGAAGAAATTTACAAGGGGGTCCTTTGGTTCTGTTTGCTATGTTGGGGGAGGTTCTCTGCTGGGGAAGCTGCAGCCAGTGTCTTGGTTGTGGGGGCATCATCAGAGTTCTTGCAGAGCTCTTGTCCGTGAGCAGCAGGAGACCTGGAAGAACACCATGATGGTGACTCCAGTGTGCCCAGAAGCCCAGCACTGCACTGTCCACAAAAGGCATTTGGGAAATGGTTTTTTAATCGATTGAATATTAGTCTAAGAAATATTTTCTTTTAGCTCTAACTGGAAAGGGGATTATATATATCCTTGAGTGAAGCACTTTCTTTTCTTTAGAGAAGCAGATGTTATAAGGCAATTCTATATGTAGAGAGTTGTTTTAGTTCAATTTAAAGGAAATTTATGTGAGAATTTTAGGGTTTGCAAATAGTTCTGACTGCTGTGGAAATAATTGCATTTATTGGGTCACAGATTCTAGGACTGAAGAAGAACTCGGGGATCAAGCGTTCTATTCTGTTCTTTTATAGAGAATGAAACTGGTGCCTTCAACTTACACTAGAGATTAAAATTTCCATTCTATCATCATTAGTTTTTCGATACCAATAATACTTCTCCTCCAAATCACTCTTGATATTCCAATGTTACAAATGAGTTTGGTACAAATGATGTTACCAATGAATTTGAGTTAATTCTGTTCCAAAAATTTGCTAAACCATATAAGCCTGTCTGCTACAATCCCCCTGGAGTGTTTAAAATCCAGCCTTAGGAATTTCTAATGAGGGATGTCATCTCTACAGTACTTTTGAACTGTCATAAGCATGGCTACTTTGTTCCATAGGGAATAAAGCCTCAGAGGCAGATCCGCAGTAAATTTAAACAGCCATCCCCAGTGAAGAACCTGTGGAGAAAGGATCAAGACAGAGAGAATGGACCTAAGCCCAGATAGTTCTGTAGTTGGAAATGCAGGAAGCAGAAGCCATTTATCCTCTTGTGTGAGTCACAGTGCAGAGCAGATTAGTGAGATCAATGCCTGAGTTCCTTTGGCAGCCTGGAGTTGAGGGAGGAAGGCATGACGATGACAAAACCTCTGGAGCTTTCTAAAATTCTGTTTCTGGTTTGAAGTTTTAGAGGTGAGTGAACACCACTCCCTGTGGTCCCCTATGGCCATTATGCAGAAAGACCTCCTGGGCACAGGACATCAATCCTCTGCGATGACTAGTTTGCAGGGGTTCCGTATCACTGAGAATGGAATTGACTTTCGTGTTTGTTGTTTCAGATGGTAGAAATGGTGTGTCTCCATGTGATTAGTTTAATGGAGGCACTGCAAGAATGCAATTCAACCATTTTTGTCAAGGTAGGAAAATCTTATGATTTTTATGGACCATTTATTTCTTACTGCTAAAAACAAATGTGGACTTATTTTGAATGTACTTTGTAAAGAGGAAAATAAAATGATTCAGTTTTAACATTCAGAGTTGGGGCTGGAGGATTCAGGCTCCCATGACAACCCTTTACCAAATGGTTATTGTGTTAATGTTGCTCTTGCTCTCCCGCTGTGACCAACTCTACCTGGGTGAAATATGTCAGACCATGATTGCAGGTAACTCAAGTAATTAAAATATTCCTGGGGAACACTGATGTGGAAATGACCCGATAGTAATATACTTTGGTTGGTGGTTCCTCACCTTGCAAAAGATATCCAGAAAACCAAGGGAAATAGTTTCTAATTGTTTGACTTGGTATCAGGTGCTTTTATCTAAGATAAAATAATTTGCTTTCAAATAATATTATTTTAAATCATTACACAGTGTATGAAAGTAATTCAAGCATTTGTCGTCTGCCCAGGGACAGCAGAAACAGACTAGTGTGATAACAAACCGAAGAGCAGAGGAGGACTTGGTTTCTCACTCCTTTATCTTTCTGCCTCCCCTCGTTTTCCACCTGTTCGTCCCACTGATCCTTTTTGTCTCCCCTTCTTGTACCTCTTCCTTCTTTACCTTTCACTTCTGTCTTCTATCATCCTGGACTGTGTCACCACCGCCCCCCACCAGAGTGCATCAGTTTGGAGCATTATAACTTACTATGTCACTCCTTGGTTGACTCCACTCTTCAGTAAAGGACACTTGTCACATTAGCTCACACTGTGCTGAAGAAAAGCAGCCCATTTTCAGGGAAAATGTGACATATCAGAACAGTGCAAGATCATTGGTTCGAATGGGATGGATATATCACTACCTAGCTTGATAGAGCAAAAGACAACACTGTGAGGGAAACTTCATCACTCACAATCGGATGACCATACCTGATTTTATTTTTTTATAGCTATATTGAAGTATAATTTGCATATGGTAAACTGTACATATTTAAAATGTAGAGTTTGATAGGTCTTGACATATATTACACTCACGAAACCATCATCACAATCAAGATAATGAACATATCCATCACCTCCAGAAGTTTTCTTGTACCCATTTATAATCCTTCTATCGCACCATTTCCTGTACTCAACTCCCTGTTCCCAGGCAACTACTGATCAGCTTTCTGTCACTACGGGTTAGTTTGCACTTTCCAGAATTTTCTACAAATGGATTCACATGGTACATACTGTTTTTTTTTTTGCCTTTTTTCACTCATAATAATGATATTGAGATTAATCCATGTTGTTGCATGTATAAGTAGACCATTACTTTTTATTTCTGAGTAGTATTCTATTGTACTAATATACCACATTTTGTTTATCCATTCATCAGTTGATGGACGTTTGGGGTGTTTCCAGTTTGAGGCTATTACAAATAAAGCTCCTATGACTATTCATGAATAAGTGTTTGTGTATGTATATATTTTCGTGTATGTTAATACCTACGAGCGGCAAGTCTGGGCCATAGGTGTATATTCACCTTTTTAAAAAATTGGCAAATCATTTTCTAAAGTGGTTGTACCCCATTATACCCACACTAGCAGAGTATGAGCACTCTAGTTCTTCCACGTCTTTGTCAACACTTGATATAGTCAGTCCGTAATATTAATTATTCTGAGAGTTGTGTACTGGTATCTCATTGTGGTTTTAAATTGTGTTTTCCTGTTTGCAAATGATGTTAAGCATCTCTTCATGTGCTTATTTGCTATTACCCATATATCTGGTGGGTGAAGTGTCTGTTAAAATTATTTGCCCATTTTTTGTTGTGTTGGGTTTTTTCCCCGATTATTGAATTTTGAGATATAAGTCCTTTATCAGCTATGTGATTTGCAAAGATTTTCTCTGAGGTTTGACTTTTCATTGTCTTCAGGGAGTCTTGTGAAGGGCACAAGACTGTTCTTAATTTTGATGAAGTAACATTTACCAAATTTTTGTTTTATGAATCATGCATTTTATGTTGTATTTTTAAAAAGTCTTTGCCTAAGCTGGGCGTGGTGGCACGTGCCTGTAGTTCCAGCTACTGTTGGGAGGCTGAGGTGGTGGATTGCTTGAACCTAGGAGTTTGAGATCAGCCTGGACAACATAGTGAGACCCTGTCTCTTAAAAAAAAACGCTTTGTCTAATCCAAGCTCATAAAGAGTTTTCGTTTTGTTTTATTCTAGGTGCTGTGTTTTCTATGTTCAGCTGGGTATTAGTTTATGTCTGTAATCCATTTGAGTTAAATTTTATATATGGCATGAGGTATGGATATACAGTTATTCCAGCATCTCTGTTAAAAATATCCCTTCTGCATCAAATTGCCATTGCATTTTTGTCAAAAATCAATTGACCATGTATGTATGGTTCTATTTCTAGATTCTCAATTCTGTTCCATTGATCTCTTTGTCCCACACTGTCTAGATTACTATAGTCTTATAATCTGCCTTGAAATCAGGTAGTGTTAGTCTTATAAATTCATTCATGTTTTTGAAACTTGTTTTGGATATTCTAAGGCCTTTGCATTTCTAGGTAAATTTTAAAATCAGCTTGCCAATTTCTACAAAAAGATTGCTGAGAATTTTATTGAGATTGCATTAAATCTGTAGATGAGTTTAAGGAGAATTGAGATCTTAACAATATTGAACCTTCTGATTCATGAATACAGTAGATCTCTCCACTTATTTATGTCTTCTTTAAGTTTTCTCAGCAATATTTTATAGTTTTCCATATACAGGCCTAGTATAATTGTGTCATATTTATTACCCTAAGAATATAATATTTTTATGCTATCGTAAATGGTATATGTTTTACATTTCTGTTTATGATTGTTCATTAATAATATTTAGGAATACAACTGATTTTTGTATTGCTCTTCTACCCTGCAACCTGTTAAACTCATTTATTTGTTCTAGTAGCTTTCTTGTTGACTTCATTAGATTTTCTATGTGGATAATCATGTCATGTGCAAATAAGGGCATTTTTATCTGTTCCTTTTCAATCTTTGTGCCTTTTATTTCCTTTCTTATTTCATTACTCTGGATAGATCCTCCAGTACAAGTTGAATAGAAATGGTGAGAGCAGGCAACTGCCTTGGTCCTGATCCTAGGAAGAAAGCATTCGGTCTTTCATTGTTAAATATAAACGTCAGCTGTTAGTTTTTCACGGATAACCTTTATCAGATTGAGCAGGGTTCTCTTCCATTCCTAGTCTGCTAGGAATTTTTGTCAGGAGTGGATGCTGGATTTTCAAATGCTTTTTCTACACCTATTAAGGTAGTCATGTGACTTTTCTTTTTTGACTGTTAATATGGTAAGTTCCATTGACTGATTTTTGAATGTTAAACCAACCTATGTCCCCGAGACAAATCATACTTGGCCAAGTGTTATCCTTTTCATATCTTTATATCTTGCTGAATTCAATTTGCTAACCTTTTTTTTTGAGGTGAGGCCCTGCTCTGTTGCCCAGGCTGGAGTGCAGTGGCATGATCATAGCTCACTGCAGCCTCAAACTCCTGGGCTTATGTGATCCTCCTGCCTCAGCCTTCCAAGTAGCTGGGACTACAGGTGCATGCCACCATGCCCAATTAATTTTTTTTTTTTGTAGAGACAGAGCCTCACTATATTGTCCAGACTGGTCTTGAACTCCTGGCCTCAAGTGATCCTCCTGCCCTGACCTCCCAAAGAGCTAGGATTATAGGCGGGAGCCACCATGCCTGACATACTTCTCTATATATTATAAAGCAAACCATATATTGTTATTGTTTTTGCTTTGAACAGTCAATTATCTCTTAAAGAGATTTTAAACATGTTTTATATTCATTTATATTTGCTATTATTGCCATATTTATATTTGCGATTTTCAGTGCTTTTCATCCCATTCTAACAGCCCTAAACTTCCATCTTTTATCTTTCCTTTTTTGTGCCCAAAGGACTTTAACATTCCCTGTGTAGGTCTGCTGGTGATTAATAGTTTTAGCTTTTGTATGTCTCAGAAGGCTTTATTTTGCCTTCAGTTTTGAAGGATTATTGAATTCTAGATTGAAGTTTGGGTTTTGGCCCCCGTACTGTGAAGATGTTGCTCCTCCACTGTCTTTTTGCTTACATTGTTTCCAACAAGAAATCTCCGCCATTCCTGTCTTTTTCCACCTGTATGTATCTTTTTCTTTGGCTGCTTTGAAGATTTTGTCTTTGCCACGTTGTTAAGCAATTTGATGATATTACGCCCTGAGATAGTTTTCTTCATGTTTCTTGTGCTTGGGTTTGTTGAGCTTCTTGGCTCTTCGGATTTATAGTTTTCATTAGATTTGGAAAAGTAAAAGAAATCCATTGTTTATTCAGATATTTTCTTCAGTGTCTCTACTCAACATGCTCAATCTTTCTTTTACCTTCTTGACCATATTGAGTATAGTTATAATAACTGTTTTAATGTCCTTGTCTACTAATTTTGTTATCTGTATATTTTTTTTTCCTATGGATTGATTTTTCTCCTCATTTATGGGTTACATTTTTCTGTTTCTTGCATGCTTGGTAATTTTTTATTGGATTCTCGACGTTGTGAATCTGACCTTCTTGGGTGTTGAATGTTTTTGTGCTCATATAAATGTTCTTGAGCTGTATTCTGTGATATAATTAATATTACTTACAAATATTTTTGTCCTTTTGAGGCTAACATTTAAGCTTTGTTAGGTGGGATTGGAGCAGCATTGTTTCTAGGGCTAATATTACTACTCCTACTATACCACCGTCCTTATGAATATTCTCATGGCGTTTTATGAATTACAAGATCTTTCCACTCTGACTAGTAGGAACATAAACTATTCTTGGCCCTATGTGATCACCAGGGGTTTTCCTTCTAATATTTTTGAGTTGTTCTTTTCTTCAGTGTTAGGTAGTTTTTTGTTTTGTTTTGTTTTACCTGTGTGTGGTCAGTATTCAGCTGAAGACTCAAGGGGAAACTGTTGCAGATCTTTGGAGTTCTGTCTCTCTGCAGCTCTCTGCTGTCGGGTATTCTACCTTGCAATAGCCACCTTGGCCTCCCTGGACTCCTACCTACATCTCCTCCACTCAGGAAGACTGCCGGGCTCCAGCTGGGGTCCTCTTCCCTGTGCCACGGCCTGAACACTCTTTCTCGTCAGTGAGCTAGAATATAGCTGGGGGGCTCACCTTGTTTTTTTCCTCTCCCTCAGGGATCTCTGCCCTGCACCACCTGACATTCAGTATCTGAAAATCATTGTTGCATGTAGTTTGTCTGGATTTTTAGTTGTTCCAGACAGGAGGGTAAATCTGGGTTTTTTTAATTCCATCTTGGCTGAAAGAGAAAATTTCACCACCAATTTTAATTTTGAGGACTGGAACAGGCAGGGGTGAAATGAATATATGGCAACCAAGAAGGGAGTCTTCCATTTATTCTGTAGCATAAACCAAGATACGAGGCAGGGTATCCCTTTTATTTTGGTGAAAAACAACGTATTTTAAAAAATGTCCCTGAGTTTTCTGGATATTGTTTCTGGAGAGGGGGAATAAAAAGCCCAACCAACTTTACTCTATTATAACATTACAGAGCCTGAAATAGATGACATCTAATTCTTACTGACAGCTTTGTAGGAGCCACTAGCAAAAGGGAACTAAAATGGATGTTATTCAATAAGTCAAATTAGCATTCCTGAAGCAGGATGACTGCTGGGTTATATAATGCCACCCGTAATAATAAGCTTTCACCCAATGCCATCAGTCGTGTGATTCGTAAATCTCAAACCTGAAGGTCCCTTGCTGGTATATTTTAGAGTCATATGGTCACATGTTATATCCATGGGGATGTAACACAAACCCTTTTCGAACCAGCATTACTGTGCCCTGTGCTTACCTCCCACACACGGGCCCTTGGCCCTGTGACAGCACTGGGAGAGGGTCTGTCCCAGGGTCGGTGCACTCAGCGCTGCCTTCCCAAATCCCTCAACATTCTTAACAGGAGGTTAGTTCAGGTGTTCCCCAAATATCAAGAGGCATACAGGGCCCACTTCCATGGTAAATAGTCAAAGATCAACAACGTTTGTAGACGTTAGGGCCTCCAGGGCTTGCTTTTTGCCGTACAGACATTGTGGGGGGAGACAGACTAGTTACTTTTTCTCATTCAGAATATCTATTGGTAGATGAGCCAGTCCTGGTGAGGGCCAGAGAGCGTAGCCTTATCTGACACCAACTTTGTAATCCCAGTTTCGTTATGAGAGTTGGAGGACTGAGGAGGCATGGAGAGGGTGGCGTTTTCTGATATTTTGAGTTTTAGTCTTATTACATCTTCTGGTACACACTGTACTCCATTTCTAAACACGATGTTACGGTAGGGACAGAGCGTTGGCTGGCGGCAGCGTAAACACTGTGCTTAGCAGCGTTTAGGAGTAAACATCGACGGAAGTCAAGGGAGCAAATTGTGTACATCGACAGAATGCTCAAAGTAAAGCAACGGCCGGGTTTAGCCTTGGGAACAGAAATGGAGAGAGAAACACAATCTATCACTTCCCCAGGTTTATTTTTAAGAAAATGTTGTGATGAATTCAGTGAGACCAGCAGCCTCTGGCTGTGGCTAGCTGTGAACCGCGAGGCCATGTGCACGCTGCCCCCGTCCCAGAAGGCTCGCTCTGGCTCTGCTCGTTTTGTGAGCGTCCCCCAGTTTGCCCAGGCCGGAAGCCTCGGCCTCTTCTTTGACCTTCCCCTCACCCAGAAGAGCAAACTCATGCTCAGACGGTCACAGGTTGTCTCTCCATCCCCAGCGCCTGTCCCTGGTCTTCCCTGGGCCGTTGAGGCAGCCTCCGCACTGGGCCGCTGCCTCCATTCTCGTGTCCTTCCTCACCCTGCTCTGCAGACTGTGCCGCGGTCATCCCTCTGGAGCACAGTTCTGCTCGTGGTGAACGGAGCGCCCCCTTCGGAAGTGGGACTGAATTTGGAATAAAATCCAAATGCCCTGATTGGGCGGTCGCGGTATCCGTGGGCTGGTGCCGAGAGGCCCTGGCCTCTGCTTTTCTGCGCTCGGTTTCCATGAGCCTCTCCTAAGAACCTCACACTCCAGCCTCATGTGACTCCTCCCGCCCCTCATCTCTCTGCACACTCCCACCTCTGAGCCTTCTTCATACCCTCTCCGCGTCCCGGAATGCCCTAGCATTAGTTTCCTAGGACTGCCATGGCATAGCATTACGATGTGGGGGCTTAAAGAACAGAAATTTATGCTCGAAGTTCTGGAGGCCAGAAGTCTGAGACCCAGGTGTCAGCAGGGTTGGTTCCTTCTGAGGCTGTGAGGGAGGGTCTGTCCCATCCCTCTCTCCTAGCTGCTGGCTTGCTGGCAGTCTTGGGTGTTCCTTGGCACGTAGATCTCTGCCTTTGTCTTCTTGTGGCATTCTCCCTGTGTGCGCACGTCTGTGTCCAAATGCCCCTTTTTATAAGCACACCAGTTATGGTTGATTAGGGCAGGGGCTCACCTTACTCCAGTGTGTCCCCATCTTAACTAATTACATTGTCAACAACCCCCTTTCCAAATAAGGTCACATTCTGAGGCAGCACAGGTTAGGACACGACACAGATTTTGAGGGGACACAGTTCAATCCATGGCACCTCTACTCCTTCCTCGGAGTGGAGGGTTGGCAGGAATACGGACTGAAATGATATGATGTGTATTAGCACGTTAAAGATCTGAGAAGTACTGAACTGAAGAAACCAGCATTTGAAAACTTACTGAATCATCCCCCCTGCCCCCCCCTCCCCATTTAAAATCTCAGCAGACTAGAATTCTGTGGAACATGCTTTGGAAAATGCCAGATTCTGTTTCCACCTTCTGGGTTTACAAGGCCATGAATATCTGCTGATATTCTGAAGGACCGAAACGTGGCCGAGAGACCACAGCAGAGCGAGGGGAGCTGCTTCTGGAGGCACCGGGCCAGGCACCCTGTGAGCTCCAAGGAAGGGCCGTCGGAGAGCTCGGGGGCACTGAGAGAGGCAGCAGAGGGCCAGGTCACCCGGCAGGGACTCGCACCCACAGGCTACAAACGCCCGGCCCCGTCTTGCTGTGTTTCACCTTCCGTGTCACAGCCAGGCCACTCTAGGGGTGGTCTTTTTCAATCACTGACGTGTTGTGACCGCTGCCCAGTGATATTTTCTTAATGACTACAGGCAAGTAGAGTCGCCGTTCCACGCGGAGACTTACTTCTGAAGCTCCCGCGGAGGAAATTCTATTTCAAGAAAGTGAGGATTTAATTAAATAAATACACATTTGATTTCCCGTGCTTGGTGGCTTTCAAGAGACAATCAGTCATTTACTCTAAAGTGTGTATTTCGGGCACTCATGGAGTGCTTATTAACCTCCAAATGCCACCAGCTCAGCAGGGTCTGGCCTCAGAAAGACATTCTGCTGATAACAGGTAGCTCTGCAGCCGGGGCCCACATCCGTGTGTGACGCAAAAGGGACTCAGTGTGGCCTGTGTCCCTCATGGAAGTTGAAGCTTTCTTGGGGGCATGGAGAACAGTAATAACAAGGCTTCTGTCTTTCTCCACACAGCTGATACCTATGTGGTTGCCAATGATTCAGTCAAACATCAAGGTAAGTCACCCCCCGGGCTGACTGGGAGCTCAGTTTCCTCCAGAGAAGATCATGACATTCATAGGCCTTGCTGATGTTCCCCTACTATGGAGCAGGAGGAATTCAACCTGCTTCTGCCTTAGAGGGCCAGGGAAGGGCCCTACAGGCAGAGGGTGGCGCAGGAGCCGCTGTCCTGCTCACTGTTGACACGGATGCAGGTGGAGGGGCCATCCCAGAGTCCACACGAGGCTCGAGCCACTGATTAGAATACAGGCCAAAAGGCTCCCCTATCTTTGGAAGATACCTGTGGAATCTGGTCCCAGACACATCCAGTGATACTTCCTGCCTCTGAGATTGATTTTCCGTCATGGGAAGAATTCTATTAAGAAAGGATAGCATTGAGTGAATGGCAGAATTGGGCTAGAGGGAACCTGCCTCCTCATTTCACATACGAGGAAACGCTGGACCGATAGGAAGAGTGACTTGGACAGGATCTCACAGCCTGGAGGGCAAAGCCCCTGCCTGAATGTATTTCCCAATCCCTTTCCTGAGTGGCGCCTTGTCATTGCGGGCGCAAACACCTCCATGACTAACAAGCATAGTTCTTGGGGCTTGATATTACGAGGACCAAGCCAGCTACCTGCCCCGTCCAAAACTGGTCCTGTCTACGGCACTGGGAGTGTTGAGGGGACGGCGGGGAGAGAATGGAAACTTCCTTGCCGGGTTTCTTGTCCGAGCTGGGGAGGGTTGCTAGTGGAAGGAAGAGAGTGTGGACTCAGGGGACCCAGGCACCAGCAGAGAAGGGTGGGGTTGTCAGCAGTGACCGACCTCAGCCTGTGAGTCCTGATTACTGCGTTGCTGCTACTTGTGGTCGCCGCGGGGGGCATAGGCACTGCTGAGACCCTTCTCTCACATTGGCTTTTCCTGCGAACAGTGAGCTGCTTGCACTCCCGCCTCGAAGCACTCCGCATTGCCTCTCGCACCCCTTTCCCGGCCTTATGGCAATCTGTGGCGACTTCGCGTTGCCCAGAGTGCTACGACGAGGCCGACAGAACTCAATGAGAAGCTTGGAAATAGAAGAGAAGCTTTCAACATGACTTTCTCGAGAACAGAGAGATTATAGTAATAATTAAAATGTAATAAACAATGAGCACTCATATGTGCCAAGTTCTGTTCTGAGCACCCTATTAATTCATTTGTCCCGACAACAGCCCCGCCACCACCAACCCCGAGTGTAACTATCATAAGAAAACCCAACACAGACCAAAAAACCTTGTTCCCAAAGTCGGTCATAGAGGAGCCAGGATTTGAACCCGGGGAGCCTGAGGGCAGAGCCCAGGCACTATACCGCCTCACCAAGCCCATGGGGTGGACAGCTCTGGGGGACAAGTTTATGTGTCATCCCAGCTGCCGCTGTGTCAGCTTTCCGTTCCCGAGGCAGTGAGTCGGTCCTGATGGGCGCATCAGTATTCGGTTGGATTGGGCCCAGGGTGACTCTAGAAACACAGTGCAGGCCCCTGCCCTGAGCGTTGCCAAATTTGAGAGTGTGTGTTCTTCAGGCCAGACAGCCCTTGAGCCAAGCTAAGTTCTGCTGCAGGAGCAGCCCAGGTCCACGCTCCCTGGGCTGCCCATGAGCAACTCGCAAGGAAGGAAACTAAACCGTCTCCTCTCGCCCTTTCTCAACAGCACTTGTCTGCGGGACTCCAGCTTCGCCTTCAGGCCATTCAGAACAACGTGAACCACCACAGCCTAAGGACGCTGCCGGGCTCGGGCCAGAGCGGTGCTAGCCTGGCGGCCCTCCGCAAGTGGCTGCAGTGCACCCAGTTCAAAATGGCCCAGGTGGAAATCCAGTCCTCGGAAGCCGCCTCTCAATTTTATCCTCTATGAGTGGACTCCTCGGCGCTCAGTGTCAACACTCTGGTTTAGCAATAATGGGTTTAAAAACAAAACAATTTGATCCGAGCAGGTTGGGGAACATATTGGTACTGTACATTCTCTTTCTAGTTTAGTAACAGACGTGCAAAGGCCGGAGAGGGCCAAGCAGTGAAGCTTTCTTGCTACACATATTTCTGATGACTCCTTGGGCTATCTGATTAAGTGTTTCCTTACATTATTTTTTAAAAACCAAATCATTTTTCTTTAACTAACTTCTATTTTTTTTAAGAAAAAAAAATAGACTGGTGGGTACTCACAGAAAAGTTGTATAAGTCCCCCTGTTGCTATTTTTGATGATAGAGAATAAATAGGGTTTTTGAAACCTTTGTAGTGTTTTTTCTTAAAATCCACTCTTGGCAATGCAATAAAAAAAACCGTCACCATAAGCCAGTGACACCTGACTGAAGCTTTTTGTCATTATCCTGGGAAAAGTGGCAGCTTGCAAGGAACATTACAAAGTGCACTTAGAAATTAGGTGGTTAAACTGTGCCAATTGTTTTCTTTGTTTTATAATATCATTTTCCAAAACTTGTCCAGTAAGTTTTATTATTTTTAAAACTAGTTTTTCAACTCATGAGTTCTAGGCTGTACTTTCTTGTAAGCTTTATGATAACCCCTTTAGTTTTATGAATAATAAATTTTGTCCTTTTGTTAATACTTGTATACAATTCAATTTAAAACCGTAGCTTGCATACTGGACCGGACGAACCCCACACTGGCACAGAGCACTGCACCTGGAGAGATGTGTCATAAAACGGGATTTTACCAGTGTACAAGCACCCAGATTTATTGGCACTTACACCTAGCTTTGGACTGTGCATTCCAAATGAAATCTCTCTTCTTTATCCCTGTAATGCACTGAGTAAGAGAAGACTTAATACGCATTTAAGCTGTATATTGACATGCTATTAAATGCATTTTTTATTATCTTTGTGAGCCTGGGGTTTTTTAAAATCAGTTTCTAGAGCTAGAGTTTAGTGCCTGACAACCATTTCTTCTAAACTTGTACAACTTCTAACTTCCCTTAAAACTGCAATCATAAAGAGGAAAAGGCTTTCTTTAAGGTCATCTAGTGAGAGGAACGCGTGACTCACTTGAAGTCCATTCTCTGGGAAGGGTTCTGAGAGCGTGAGACCATTCTTTTTTTTCATGTTGGTTTTTAAGAGGCTTCCCTTTTCTTCTGGGATGTCTGGTATCTTAGCGCTTCTCAGGGGAGAACAGGTCCTCAGAGGCTTAAGGGTTTCACATGAGTCCAGAAAGGCAGAGTGGCAGATCTTCATTCTTCTGGAAACTTGCAGGGAACCAGGCAGGCTCTATATTAAAAGTATAGAAGGGACCGTTCTTCATTGTCTCACCAACAACCTCTTCTGAAAGGCTCCCCGCAGTCAGCACTCTGCTCCGTGCCAGTCGTGCTTGGCTGTGCTTCCGTGAACATTTTGTCTTGTATTGTATTGAAGTTGTACATATATTTATCTCACTTGTAAACGGTGACAGCTTTGAGGGTATGCACTATTTCTGTGTCCCCAGGGTTTGGCACATAGTACGTGTTTAATTAATGTCTGTTGAATCGAACAGATTCAGTGAAGCAACAGGTCTCTCCTGAGCTACCCAGTGGGCTCGGCGAGGGCTGAATTATGACATTGTCTTTTTGTGTGGAGGGGGTTCCTGGAGGAGGTGGCCTTGGCTGCTTCCCCTGTGACTTCCCCATCCGGGCTCAGCTGTGGGCCCCGCTCTTGGCCGGTCCTGAGCCCAGTCTGCCCCAGGCAGCCAGGATCTTGGTGGCCCCATCCTACCAGCAGACAAGGTCCAAAGTTATCCTCGGTTCTTCACTAGCCCCATGTTCTTTGCCTGGTTCTTCGAATGGACTTCTGCTCTACTTCCTTTTGTGTTTGCATCCCCCTCAAGGGCTGGAGACAAGCCCTTACCACGGTGCTCTTGGCCGAGCCCCCATGGAACACTTCGCCTGTCTGGACCCATTTCTTTTCCGTGGGGTCTTGGTCCTACCCAGGCAAATCTCTCTCCTTGCTCTTGAGAACTGGGACCCTTTTTCCTGCCAACCTGACCCAAATACTATCCCGGCTGGCATCCTGCCACTTCACGGGCTGATAGAGACCGCCTAGACTGCACCACAATTTCCAGTGCCCTCATCTTCTGTTGCTACCTATGTCAGCCCTCTAGCTAGTCGGGCTCGGCACTTAGAAGAAAAGACAGGAGGAGAGGGGGCGTATAGAAGTTTAGCAGGATTGGCTCTAACAGGTAGAGGGAGAAGCCGTTCACCTAGGTCAGGAGTCTGCAAATTGTAGCCCACAGGCCAACTAGGGCCTGCTGCCTATTTTTGTAAAGTTTTATTGGAAACAACCCCACTCGCCATTTACGTATCGTCTGTGGCTGCTTTTGTGCTGTAATGGCAGACAGAGTTGAAGAGTTGCCGCAGAGATTACATGGCCTGGAAAAGCCTAAAGTGTTTACCATCCGGCCCCTTACGGAAGCAGCTTGCTGACCCTGGCCCAGGTGGAGACCACTGAGCAGCCCTGAGCTGGGGCCCTTCCAGGGCCATATGTTCCCTACCTCTGTGGGGGGGTTGGGTTTTATTATTGGTGTTTCCTCATCTGTAAAATGGGGATAATGACACGTCCTACCTCATAGGGTTGTTGAGATGATAAAAGAATGCAAGACAAGAGCTTAGGGCCACACCTGGCACGTGGTAAGCACTCCATAAAAGTTATCGGTTATGATTTTCATTTTCATGTTTAAGCCTAGAGAAGTAAAGCTACTTGCCCAAGGTCATACGGCTGGTAAGCGGCAGAGAGCCAGGACATGACCCCCGTGATCATGCTCCCAGCTGCTGCCAGGTTAACTCCTGCTGCACCTCACGTTGGCCCAGGTGACAGCTGTGAATACAAAGCAGAAGGCAGAGAGATCCCAACAAAATTTCACCTGATCCAGATTTGACCAGAACTAATTATTATCTTGGAGAAGGGCCAAGGAACAGACTCACTTTTCCTTCCCTCATGGAATATTACTGGTTTCAGAGTGTCAACAGGACATACTTCCAAAGGTGGGACAGCCCAAGTCTCCAAATGTGTAGATTCCATTCTTGATGATTTTTCACCATGGGCATGCCTCTTACTAGTTCGGTGACCTTGGACAAGTTATTAAACCCCTGTGGACCTCTGTTTTTCCTTATCTGTAAAGTGAAGCTGTCCACAGAGATGGACAGCTCGAATGGGCGGAGGACTGTGGTGGTGCTTGGGAGACTGTACCGGAATCTACGGACCTCTGAAGACTTGCTACTTTATGAAGACCCTGCAAAGGGACAACTCACAGCTGCAGGCTCATTTGGTTTTTCCTTCAGCCAATGCCTCAGAACCAAGACCTCCATGGAAGACCCATGGCCTCCAGAGCATGCTCCTTAGCCAAGAGGGTCCAGTCTCCATTGTATACCATCTCTTTGCCAGCGTGTCATTCTGCCCGACATGGGGATGTTTCCAGCAAATCTCTTCCCTATGAATCTCATCTGAGGCCAAGTGGTTGCAGCAACTTCATTTCCAAGCTTTGATAGGCCAAATAAGATTGGATTAAATCAGAGAAGATGAGTTATCCACCAAGACTCTCAAGAGCTGGGATGGAAGGGCCTCTGGCATTAATTGGACAATGCAGATAATTTCTTATACTTTTTAAATAGAATTAATTTGCAAATATGTATGTTGGGCAAATTGAGTGTAATGGTGGGTTCTTAAGAAGAATGAAGGGAGTGGTTGGAACTCAATGGAACAGTAGCAAACCGTGTTTTTATGAAAGTTGAACCCTTTGGGAGACGGCCGATGTGTTATCAGTGAGAGGCTAGGAGCAGGCGGTAAGCCTCTCCTGATGGGGCTCCCAGAGAAAGCACAGTCGCCACCACTCACTGAGCATGCGCTAGGTACCAAGCACTTTACACACGCCTGAGCTCCTCCCCTGTGTGAGACAGGTGTTCTTATTATTCCCGTTTTGCTGGTGAGGCGATGGGGGCCCAGAGGTTAAGGGCCTTACCCAGTGTCATGCCCGGGCAGTAGTAGCGTTATAGACTAGAGGCCATCTGACTCCAAGTCAGAGCGTCACTCAGTGGATGTTATTTTCTCCTCCCTTTTTTTGGTTCTAGGCTCTTTTGGCTAACAAGTGCCAGGAGCACGGCATGCGAAATCATACTTTGAAGTGGCTCCATCTTATTGACATCTCTGTTTATTGATTATCTATCAAAGCTTCCATCAAGCCAGAGTCACTTCACCTGACAAGAGTGTTTTCCCCTTGCTTTGGGAATTCATTTATATGAAACAAATTTTGGGTCACAAATTAAATCACATGTAGTTTCCCACTTAATATAATAGTTTTAGGAAACAAGAATAGAATCATATGAATTGAAGATTGCGATGGTGAACTCTATTGAGAGTTTGCTCCGCCCTCGGGAGACTTGACCCAAGGAATGAGAATCATAGCTACTGTATACGAGGGCTTACTGCATGTCAGCTACTTTCCATATAAATAATCTCATTTAATCTTCACAACAACGGTGTAAGGTACGCACTTCTATTATTAACTCCACGTTAGAGATGTTCAGAGAGACTAAATGTTTGCAGGAGTCACTCGCTAAGGGATAGAGAAAAATCTGAGTCTGCATGTGTGTGCCTCCATGGCCCAGGCTCTGTCTGTCACCTGGTGGTTCAATGATAGGAGTCCTTTGCCACTCATCTGGCCGACAAGGTAACCCAGAATCATTTACTCCTGAAGTGACCAGCTGGCAGCCTGCTGGCTGAACATGGTCCACAGCATATTAGATTTGAGGAGCTTGAATTTTTAACTTCTTCTTTTGGTTTGAATATCTCTGGTGGAGCATGTGGGATCTGGTTTTATTCAGTTCCTGCCACTGACCTCAGCCTCCGAATCAAGAAGAACCAATCCAGCAACCGCGGGCT